AGAGAGAGAGAGAGAGAGAGAGAGAGAGAGAGAGAGAGAGAGAAAGACTGGTCTAGGGACCATATAAAGGATTAAGTTCTGTTGTTATGTGCACCCAACTGTCCACAATGGATGTAATTTTTTATATTTATTTATTTAGTCTTTTTAAAACAGTGTTTGAGGATTAAAACGCACGCCAGCAAGTGCAGGGGCTGGGGTTCGATCCCAGGGCTTGCCCTGCCGGCCCTCCCCCAAGGCAAGCTGAGATGGCAGTTGACACTGGGAGCAAGCCTGTAATCCCAGCTCTTGGGAGGCTGAAAACAGGAGAATCACTGTGAGTCTAATCTAGTAGTGAGACCCTGAACACCCTGTAGACCCTTCCCTAAAATACAAAAAGAAAAAAAAAAGGTTTGAAATCAGGCGTGGCTGCACACATCTGCAAGCCTACCATCTCATAGCGAGTTCAAGGCTGGGCTGGCCCACTTAGGGAGAATTTGTCTCAGCAAACAAAAGAAATAGAGATTCGAGATGCTGTTCAGGCCGACCTCGAACTCAGGTATGCTCCTGTCTCTGCCTCCCAGGGGCTAGAATTACAGGCATGTGCCACCATGCCCAGCTTGGATGTAATTATTATGTATTGCAACTATGTACTTAAAATTTTTTTAAAAATATGAAATACTGGACTACAGCAGCCCCTGTCTTCTACCTTTGTTATTAAAGCCTCAAGTGTCTGCTTTTATTAAAGTACAATTCCCTGGGGCACAGTGCCTGCCTGGCAAACATGAGGTCCTGGGTTTGATTTCCAGTCCCTCACCCCCGCAAAAAAAAAAAAAAAAAAAAAAAATCTGTAAAACATATCTACAATATAGACAAAACTAAGCTTCATTATTGAAATAAGAAAATATATTTACAAACCCTTTTTAATTTATCCCAATGTTTTCAATTTCTTAACTTATCCTAATGCTTGAAAATCCATAAATTCATGTATTAAATCATGTATTTTATGATTTTCATACTTTATTTTCAAATTGAAGATGGTTTTGTTTACCATTTACTCATTTTAACTTAGATCCAAACACGGTACAGCTAAATCTTTTAAGGAATTTTACAACCAGTTGAGAAGGATAATTGAAGATTACCATTTTAAGTGCTACTTTTTTACACTGCAAACAATTTTAGTTTAAAGCTACCTTAGCCCAGCAGCTGGGATGTATAGCTCAGCAGTAGAGCAGTTGGAAGCCCCGGGTACTGTCCTTGGTATGGAAAACAAAAAATGAAAACCAACTACAAGTATCTTAGCACAGTGGCAGTGTCTACAGTTTGTAAAAAATAGTTGAACTAGACTTGGTGGCCCATACCTGTAGTCAGAACACTGAAAGTCTGAGGCTGAAAGATCACAAGTTCACGCATAACACAAGCAGTTTTGCAGTTTAGCAAGACTCTGTCACAAGAGGGCCGGCCAAATAGTTTAGTGGATTAAAGCACCTACAAACAGGCTCAGGGGTCTGGTTCGATCTCGAGCCCCCTGTGTGTGTGGTGGTGCCTGTAATCCCAGCTCTTGGCGGGGATTGTAAACAGGCAGATCACAAATCCAATCTAGTAGTGAAACCCTAAACACCCTGTAGACCCTTCCCTAAAATACAGAAAGAAAAAAAGTAAAAACAAACATACTCTGTTACAAAATTAAAAGTAAAAATGGACTGAAGGACTAGGCCAGTGTGAAGGTCCCGGGTTTAAGGTCCAGTGCATGGCCACGATCGCTACTGTAATAACAATGATGATGAGGAAATTAATAATTTGGACTTGAATTTCTGATTATTTAGAAGTAAAAGTTTGGCTTTTCTACCACTAACCTTGTTAGGGTTTGTGTGAAAGCCTAATGCAGTCATGGGGTGGCCTCTGGAGTTTATGATAGATGATTGTGGGCGTGGATGCTGCACCTGCCCTGGAGCAGGTAATTTGCATTACAACCTAGGGAGGGAAGAGAGGGTAGCTACCTGCCAGAGCTGGCCAATCCCTTTGCTCTCTTGCTCTTTGCAGTGTGCTGCTTTGCCTTGGAGCCAGCTTAGTATAGACTGAAACCTGCAGTAACTGTGAGCTAAATAAACCTTTCCTTCCTTCATTTTGAGTGTCAGGTATTTGTCCCAGCAAGGAGAGAAGAGTAACTGAGACAAAACTTTATTTTATTTTATTGATTGATTGATTGATTAATGTCTTTTTGAGACAGGATATCAACATGCAGTTCAGGATGGCTTTACACTCACTTTGTAGCCCAGACTGCTCTCCAACACACAGTGATCTTTTTGCCTCAGCCTCCCAAGTGCTGGGATTATAGACATGCAGCACAACACCCAGCTACCACTAAGCTTTTTAAAATGCTAGTACTTAACATTAGAATTTAAACTCTGTGGGCTGGTGAGATAGCTCAGTGGACCAAATGCCTGTTGAGGCAAGTGGAGAGATGGGGTTTGTTCCCCACATGCCCTGCTGGCCCTGCTCCCATGGAGACAAGGCGCCGTGGCCAACCCTGTAATCCCAGTGCTGAGGATGCTAACAAAAAAAAGGGATCATTTTGAGTCTGAGCTGCATAGTATAGTAAGACCCTGTACCAAATATGTTAAAAAAAAAAAAATCTAAATCTAAACCAAGAGTGATTAGAAGCTGGGACAGGAAGATCATAAATTCCTGCCCTGCCTGGGAAATTTTTGATGCAGCAAAATTCTGTGTCAAAATAAAAAAACAATACTGGGCATGGTGGCTGCTATGTCTAGATGTCCCCTCAAAGCTTCATGCAGTTATGGGAAGCAGGCTCACAGAGGCAGCTGGATCAAGAATTTGTGGGATTGATTCATGGTCCAAAGATGGGATTAAGTTTGTGAGTCCTCTACCTGCCCTAAAATGGGTAGCCTGTGTACATAATTAGTGACAGAAAGAGGCCCTTTCTTCTTTTTCTCTCTTGTTGCTTTTGCTGTCTTCTGCCACCACAATCTACTGCCCCTTAGTCATGTGTCACCTTGCCTAGGAGCCAGCAGATTATGGACTGAAAGCTTTATAAACTATAAGCTTAATAAGCCTTTTCTGCATTAACTTTGGGTGTCTATCAGGGCTGATCAGTTCTTGACCTGCCTATTGAGGAGTATGACTAAGAATAAGAAAGAAACACAGAGGGACACACTTTCAAAGGACATGAAGGTCTGGGAGGTCAGTGCCTCAGGATGGGCAGACACAATGTTACTCTGGATAACCACCACTTAATTAATGGGTGTGCACAATAATCTGAGAGATTATCAGATGACTCAGGAGTGGCAATGATGCTTTGCTGAGATGATCTTATGCTGATGAGGATGACTTCAGATGATTTGCAGGGCAGCAGTGATTTTAGGCTAATGAGAATATTTATGTCAATGGGGACAGTGGGGAGAGATGGCAAGGTTAAAAAGGAGTTTATCCTTTCCCCAAGGTGAAACCCTATTTTTACTATGACTAGGTTCTCTAGGAACCAGGATGTCTTTAGATTATGTAATATTTCCATGGAACGTCCCAACATCTTGGAATTATTCAGGTCTCCACTGTGATAGGAAGCATATGGGATTATGTTCCTGAATAACATTACTGGCCTGTGTGGCAAGGCACCAGGCCTTGGACAAGCCCTAATCACAGTTTAATTATGAGGTAATTTTTTCCCCAAAAATTATATAGAATGCTTCTCAACAGGTACTCAATATTTTTTCTTAACAACAAGCTAAGTAAGACAGTAGCACACAAAAAAATCCTAGCACTTGGGGCTGAGTCAAAACAATTCTAAGAGTTGAAAGGCTAGTCCAAAGTACATAGACAGGAACTAATTAAAAGGGGTTAGGAGATGTTTCTCAGTGGGAAGGTCCTGGGCTTGTTCCCCAGTAAAAAAAAA